GAGAGAGAGAGAGAGAGGCACGCGTACACTCATCACATGTACGCGCGCGCGTGTAAATCAGACAGAGAGAAAAAGAAGAGATAGATAGATAGAGAAAGACAGAGAGAAAGAGAAAGAGAGACGAAGGAAGAAGGAAGAAAAAGAGAAAAGGAACGTGTGTACAAAGCATGTGTGAACGAAGTGGCGACGTCGAATCGATACGTTTGACAAAGACATGAGATAAGGTGAACGAAAGTTTGGACGGTGAAACATGGAGGTGCTGTCGACGAGTTGGCCAATTAATTCCAAGAATCGAAAGCAACGTGACTAGATGAGGCGCGAACGTCGAATGACCAAAAAAAAAAAAAATTATGGGCGAAGGATGATAATGGCGTGATGACGATGATCGAATTGTGCGTGACCAAGCACAGCGAATGTCCCAAAAAACGTCTGCAAAATCATAATTCGAACAAGCAACGGAAACTTTTTTTTTTTTTTGGTGAACGCTCGAATTCAATTGCGAATCGATACATAGATTGATTTTTGATGACGAATGAATCGACGAATGAAATAAAAAAAAAAAAATTCCATCGTCGAGTCATTCGAAGATTTCGATCGTGAAATCATATTATAAGACGTGTGCCGAGGAAAACCATGATCGTAAATCTCAATTCGAGCTCAATGAGAAATTCTTTCTTTTCTCTCCCCGTAGATGGATGTATTTATTATATAGGAAGCGAAAAATGCAGATGATGAAGAGAGGGCATCAAGGATCGAATGAGGAGCTAGCAATTGCGCATTCGACGACGATATCACGCGCTAATCTCATCCGCCATCGTGATGATCATCGTCAATTATGGTTGTTGATCGTTGCGAACATAATCTCGGGAAATCCAATGTAAACCTTGTGTGTCGAGAACAGAGACTAGGGTCAGGGTTGTTACACCTTACTATAAGAAATGGATTGGAGCGTGTCTGATGAGGCGAAATGGCAATCTAAATGGTATTTTCATCATTATCTTTCGATGGCGAAATGGTATACACGTTATGCGGGATTTCGAACGACGATCCGAATATATATATATTATATATATATATATATTGCATATATAAATATATATATATATATACAAAACGTTAAGTAAAAAAAAAAAGTATGCATCTAGAGAGTAAATAAAACTGTAAATACAATAATACAATAGTGATTATAACAAGAAGGTTTTGCGAGAAGGCCAAGTGAGAGCTCGTAAGGCGCGTAGCGCGTAGCAACAGCCGAGGAGAATTATTTTTCTTTTTCTTTTTATATAATATAATAAATCCCGTGATAAAACGTTTCGTGCGTATTGAGTGTGTTCTCTGCCGATACGTGTCGGATCTGAAAAAGCACTGGGATATGTAGCGGGAGAACGTTAAAACAAAGCTCTAAAAGGTTGGTGTCGGTAAGATGCAAACAACGCAACGCCCGGCGCGGTGAGACGGATTCAGTGGTATAAGCCGGCGCGGGTCAGACAAACAACTTCTTGCGGATATATATTTTTGTCCTCGAGATGCGAAGAGTGAGTGAGAGAGTGAGAGAGTGAAAAAGAGAGAGTGAAAGAGAGAGAGAGAGAAAGAGAGAGAAACTCATTCCCGCGCGCGTTTATCCCCATTCCTTCTGACCGCGAAAAAAAATTGAATTCTTCGAACAACAAAGTATCACGCGTGTAATATGGAGAAACGACGAAGAATTCAGCCAAACTTCCAGTGGGCAAAAGTTTTGCTTTCTCTCTCGCTACCGCCTAAAACGTTCTTTTGACGCGTGTACGAAGGGAGAGAGAAGAAAAAAAAAAAAAAAACGAAAAGAAGAAAATAACGGGACGAATTTGGCAAAATGCTTCGAGCGTCGTGAAGGGTAAACAATTATATGTAATATGAACAGTATATAATGACGATTTGTGCGGCAGACATCATACCGACAAAAAAGGAATATATATATAATATATATATATAAACACGTGTGTACATGGATGGTGTTTGGTTTGTCGTGGATAATGTCAGTGTGAATGAACGAGTGTTGTTATGTATGCGTTGGGTATGTGAATATTTATATATATATATAGGTATATATAGTATATAAAATAGTACAGAATAATAACGGTAATAATAATAATAATAATAATAATAATAATAATAATAATAATAAAGTAGAATATTAATAATAATAATAATAATAATAATAATAATTAATAATTTATAAATATGAATCAGTAAAAAATTACTCATGACTGGTCTGTATGGCCTCCTTGAAGTTAGTACTCCACTTCCAGCCATACTAAAAAATTAATATCATTTTCACTATCTGTAGCCTGTAACCTGCGTTTTATAGTTCTTATTAAAAAAGGAAAATAGAGACAGAGAGAATATTATATATATATAGAGAGAATATATATATATATATTTTTTTTTTTTTAAAAAGTCTAATAATCGCTGTGTGAGACAGCTTCTGTATATAACCCGCGTCGCTTGTTAATCACTTGTTAATCGTCAAGGAGTGGCGTCAAAATCATCATCATCATCATCATCATCGTTAGTGCCGATCGAACCTCTCGCTTCGCTCGTATTTGACGGAAAGAGAGAAAAAGAGACAGACAGACGGACGAAAGGATGACCGAGCATAACCAACAACGGAAACGAGCTCTCGTTGCCGTTGTCTCGCGTCCAGCCCGTCACTTCAGATTCGTCTCTTTCGAACGAGATAATTATATAAATATATATATAAAAAAAAAAAATTACAATATAAAATTATATATTTACATAATGTATAATTATCATATATGGGAATAAACGCTCTTTTTAATTCCGTCGCGACGCAGATTTTTTTTTTTTTTTTTTTTCGTTTTTCCTTAATTCACAACTAACACTGAGAATGATCTGACAAAACACGGTCGCCGGCACTCGCGATCATCCGAATGCAGATACAAAAGGGTTGAGAAAGGGTGTAAAGTGGGAGAGCACACGCGGGCAGGTGTGACTCTCTCTCTTTGCTCGACGACCGAAACCCGTTTTGTCACATCATACGCTGCTAAATTTATAAAAAATATCTATACTATCGGGACACAGCAAACACTGAAAATATTGGTTGTGGGGGTTGATTAGGGTGGAAGGGTCTATGTCACATAAAGACAAAAAAGTTTGGAGGAAGATTCGCGCGACACCGATTCTCGTTAAGGATGGGTCAAAGAGACGCGCGTATCCGGCGTTATTGCCCCAATTCTTTTATCTCTAAGGCACGTAAGGCTCGAGAGCCACTAGTGGGGATCGTATGAGACTATTTTCGTGCAACTTCGTGCTTCGTTCTTGAAATTCGAGACATAACGCTCGTTTGGTTATCGAGGAAAGGTTTACATTAGATTTCGTGTAGCAGAAACGCTTTCGAGGATCGAGAGATCCAAGAGAGTGGAGGAAGAGAAAAACACAGAGAAGAACGTAATAACATGGTCTTGAACTTGAAGTCAAAAATAGAGAAAGGCATTATTGTCGTCGGAAAATAAAATCATTTTCGAGACATTTTCGAAATTTTTCGTTTTACCCACGGATCAAGGTGAATCAAGCAAGTGTAATTCGTTGCACGCAATTGCCGTTCGAATCCGTGAGAGATATCACGAATGGACACACGTATGTATGTATGTATACAGTACGCATACAAGAATAGACGAGAGTATGTGTACCAATACAAAGAAATACGATATGTATATATACATATAGTTATGTATACAGATATATATATAAAATATATAGACAAAATTCTATGTCACTCGTTGCATGCGCTGTTTAGCATAATAGGATACGGGGGGTAAGCGGTAGTCGGATTTAACGTACGTCACTGCAAAATACCACATCGTTTTACTCGATTAGGCCAAGATAGATCTACAAAGCGTGGACTGGTGTTTCTGACGCGTCTACTTAATGAAACGAGACGACTAGCTTTCCAAAGGGTTGGAACCACACTTTTGTTTTCCGAATACGATGTATCACGCGATGTACATTTTTCGAAGATGCTTTGTCAATCGTTTCTCTTTCTTTAAACAAGCGTGTGACGAAGAATGGTATACGTACATCGATTTTGCAAAGATTTTTCCACACAATCGCGTAAAAAGATAAGAAATACGTAACTGCATTTATGCTCCGTGCCTCTTGTACATCAACGATACTTTCGTCAAGATTAAATCAAAGGCTTCTCTTTCTTTTTATTCCTTCTCGGAAGGGGGCAGAAGGTTTTCAAAGCGCGACAAACTGGATGAGGATCGTGGTAGGTTTCAGGAGAAACTTGTCATGCATCGGGCAGTACCATTGGAACGGAAACAGCCGAGAATAAAGTTGAACGAGGATCCAGGTTGGGCCTTGAGTATCAGGGATATGGACTAAATAAATAAATAGATTAATAAATAGATGAGAGAAAGAGAGACAGAGAGAATGAGAGAAAAGACTCAATAGTTAGAGATATAGGAAGATAGAAAGATAGATAGATAGATAGATAGATAGAAAGATAGATAAATAGATACATAGATGGAGAGATTAGATAGAGAGATAGATAGACAGATAGATAGAAACTGAAAAAGAAAAAGAAATAAAAGTCAGTGAGCGAGCGAGCGAGCGGGGCAAATGAAGCATTACCTTGGAATGTTGAGCAGAGGTTGGCGTTATTGGTGGCGTCTCTTCGGCGTCTATGCTCGCCGCTGCGTTTGGTAATCGCTGCTCTTGCACCGACGCCAAACTACGGAACACATGAATGAATATTTTACTTTTAACAAACACGAGTTCGAACATTTTTAAATCTTACCACGGTAAATTCGTTCTCCATCGAATCTGGTAACGAAGAGGAGAATCTTACGTACCGTTTGAGCGTCACGAGGGTACTTGTGAGCTTTTTGCAACGTTTCAACGCCGACTCCAATCGTTCTGGTTCTTCCTTGAGGAACTTTTCCGCCCGCACAACCATCTCCATTTCCGAGCTCAACAAACCTTTCATACCCTCTTGTAAACTTGGGAATCGCACCTTTAGATCCGCTACCGTTTTGCTGAAATAGAAAGTGTATATAACCAATAATTTGAGATTGTATTTTTCTATAGAATAATAGTTTTCTCTTCTTCTTTCTCTTACCTAGATTTGCTCATTATCAAGGCCATATTCTCCACATCCGACATGTTCACTCTCGTCTTTCTATTTATGACATTGCCACGTAGTTCCTCCACCGTGTTTTCCAGCTCGCTGAAACCACAGAAGGATAGGTGGTTAATATACGTTGAGTATATATCTAATGGAAACGAGAAACAATGAAACACTTACGTTAGATCTTTTACCAGCCTCAACATCTCTTGCCTGTAGAGGTCCTCCTCGCGGCTTAGTCGAATCTTCTCCGCGTCCCAGGCTGCGTCGCCGCACGACAGCAACATTGTTCTACAACAACCAACGTAAGTTAGAATAGATAATTACAAACAATTTTATAGGTTGATTTTCACGCTGCGCTATTCAACAATAATTTGATTATAACACACGATTAATCAGCAATTGCTTTGTTTTTGCCAGTATAGATGAAAATTTAAAATACACATGTACAACAAATACAGTACACAATTTGGCTGTGATGTGTAACTAACAAGCGATCATTCTATTGTTAATCGAAAATTTAAAGTATATTTGACGAGGTAAATATTTCAATTACTGTTTAAATCTCTGATTTTCTATTTGACTTAAAATAAAATTTTGGCAAGAAAAATACTTCAATCTTGTTTAAAAGTTTCGAGGTATTGAAAGAAATTAGAAAGAAATTGTAAATAATAGTTTTGCACATAGAAAAAATATTCAATCGGTTATACCATTATATTTTCACTATGTACAATATTATAAAGAGAGACATAAATATATTTTCAGCAATAATATTTAAAATAAATAAAATAATTCAAAATATTTTCAAAATTATACCTTAAAATAAATAGAATATTACTTAAAATAATATTTTAGCATCAATTTAACATCTTCTCGTGGAGAGAATCTCACTGTATCAAAAATACTCTTCCACGTGATTGCTGGCATATTATACCTGATGGTGATGAACGTATCCAAAATGGTCTCCCGTATGGTGTGCGCCTGAGCCTGAGACATGCGCCTCAGGTTCCTAACTTCTTGCCTCAGATCCTTGGCCTTTTTCTGCAAGCCTCTCAGTTGATTGTACATTTCCGGTGTCAAAGCCATGTCCCGATAAACGTATTGGCCGGCAACCAGCGCGGCCGGTTTCGGCGGCGGAGTAGGTTTATGCCTGTCTCTCTCTGAAACGTTGATTCGATTCGTGCGTCAACGACTCCGTTTCACTCGGCTACTCGCGTATTTCGCCGATTTCGCACGATTCATCGTGCTCACACGTGTAAATACGGGTGTGTACCGGGGATTTCCGCCCGTTGAACCGTGCGAAAATCGTCCAGCTCGGTCGTCCAGCTTTGATCCTCGTTTCCTTACGATCGGATCTCATCTAATCTAATCTAATCTAATCTGGGTGTGGGAAGGGACGTAATTCGAGATAGGGGAGGGCTGATCAATGAAATTGAACGATCAGTAGGGGAGGGACATTACCGGCCGAGTATAATGAAGGCACAGTGCGAATTATCCTTACACATCTCGCCGCGACTAACGACTAATTTTAATTAATCATATCGTTACAAACCGGTTATACAATTGAAGTAAGTAAAAATCGAGAATCGCTGCGAGAAAGAATATTTATTACAGATTTATTAGAGTGATATTATTATAGCGAGAATTTTAATTATACCGATCTCTGATAAAATCGTGTAAACTTGACATCGAAAAGATAATAATAAAGATACAAAAATTCTTAACGAGCCATTTTTATCAAGACTTTACAAACACAGATGCTCGTTTCATCCGACGAGGTATTATCGATTTAACTCGGTATTAGCAAGAATAGGAGGAATGCGTGTGAAATTTGTAGCGAGGCATCAATCAACGCGTTTTCCATCAATCGATGCCGTTGTTTGACTTCGACTTTAATTCGACATCTCGTTAAATACGAGTGGAAAGCAGCCAAGCGCCACTGTGCTCAAAGGGTTGGCCGACTGAATTTACGCCTGTTTTGACGCCACTTTTGTCACTCGTTAAATGCGACGCCTTTCGCACGATCGAGGGGGGCGGGGGGATGGTGCGCGGGAGAAACGAGCGAAGCAAGCTGTTGACGAGTCGTACGATCCCGCCGTCAATTTTTATCGTGACGATTTTTATTGGATCGGCTCGTGTGTATACGTATATGTGTGTGAGTGTGTACATGTGCGAAGGAAGAGAGATAAAACGGACGAACGAAGGATATAATGTTACCGTATATCGTGAACATTAAGAATCGTGGATCATGCGTTTTTCTTTTTTTTTTTCTTTTCTTTTCTTTTCTTTTCTTTTTTTCATTAAGGATTGTTTTTACCTCTGAGTTATCCTCTCGAGTCCCAGGGTAATAAATCTTTCCTGCCACGGATATATACAGTGCGATCGAGGTACGAGTTGCGTCAGAAAGCGTGATTTCCAGTTACGTTATTTCTAGCGAGAGTTAAAAGTGAATGTACATCTTATTAAGAATGACATTATTGTAGCATGGACATCAAAGTTGAATCGTATTAAAAGAGAGGTATATACGATGTGTATTGTTGAAATTTTTAAAAATTTGATCTAAAATTCTTCGTTTATTTGTATATTATTCCTTATCCTGTACAATTTTTCAATTTTTATCTTGCTTTTCGTGTGCTCTGATACGTGGAATCGATTCTAGAAGAAAAAATAAACACATTCATGTACAATTTTCTTCATCGATATACGTGGAACGTAAAATTTATGGTTAAAAAAATAGAATCCTCGTCTTCGAGATGTATACTCACTCTCTCAATTATGCATCAAAATCGTGAAAAAACGATAAATATTCGGCTTTCCGAGCATCTCGATTTCGAATCGGCAATATCCGAGATTCGCAACGCGGACAAAAGATTGCGCGCATTGGAGATGGTTAGAAGTGTGTCCACGAACGATTAGAACAAGAAATAATTGGATAATATACACCGTACCTGAATTATTAAACACACACACAATTGCGGACCAAAAACCGAACGAAACAAATAGAGGAATTAAAAAACATGAGGATAATAGGGAGGTCAGACGAGCGACTAAGGTTAATCGCAAATGGAGGCAACGAGACAGACACAAAAAGGGTGTGGAAGCGTAAAAAAAACACGAAACAGCTTTACCTTGCGAAGACATCCTCGGCAACGTGGAGGATTTGATCGCCGGTTTCGTTGGTTTTGTGTCCGCTAGTCGTGATGGAAGGCATTGCACGAGAAGTCGTTAGAGATTATTGCGTTAGTATAAAGTACTCCGACAAGGATTTCGATCTCTCGATTAATCTTTCGAGCGCATCTCATCCTTCGAGAATGAAAAAACGGTGGAGCTGCATCGGGGGAAACAGCGCGCTTCTTTAACCTGGGCTCGTTCAATGGCTCGTGATATCCGTGCAGTTTGCAAAACCATCGCCGATCGATTTGTAATTACGGACAAGACCGAATAATGAGAAAAGAACAGATTGTCCACGATATTCTTTCCTCGACTCGAAAGACTCGGCTGTAATTACGTTAAGAACGTCGTTGACCCAGCTGGACTTTCGTATAATTTCCGATGATAATTCTTCGGTGGAAATCGCTGCTCCACCATTTTTTCTCCCTCGTTTCAAATGGAATGATAATTCGATTCTCCGAGAGGAGCGTGCTTAGCAAAAAAAAAAAAAAGAAAAAAAAAAGAAAAAGAAAAAAAAGAAGAAACGTAATCGTAATAATAATTTACACATTGTAAGATAACTGTTACCTGCGTGTTGCGGGGAATGTTGCTTGGGAGAATTCATGTCTGGAGGCTCATCACTGAAGGACACTGATTTTTCAAACGACACCGACTTGTCTGGAATAGAGGATGATCAGAGAATGTTTCTTATGAATTCGTGCCAATGATAGGTTATGATTAATAGCGGAAGAGCGTGCGCGCGACAATATTTCGAACGAAAGAAAACACCGGTAACGTTCGGATGTGTGGCCATCGTTCGGCAGTATTCGGTACTATTCGGCATTGTGTGCCACCAATCCGTGGCCGCGTATCCACAGAACTGGATTTCTAATTGGCCAATACGATTTCACGTATAAGGTCACATGACTAGGAGAATAGTAGTGCAATAAAATTGACGGCGACAGCTTCGTTGTCGTACAAAAGATGAATTTATGACCACAAATCCGAATATTACTATACGTGCTAATAACGGAGGCGGAATCGAAAGTGAGCGTAAGATGTTCACCTCGATGTTCGTGCATCAATAAGAAAGTGTAAAGCGCAAAATCTTGATTGAAAAGGAAACCGGTTCGAGAAATCCGTTTCCTGTAAAATTATAAGATCGGTCGAAAGCGGATGGAAATGTCTCGAACGGAGAAACCGATACGGGTTTTTTTTTTCAATGCGGAGGTGAATCGCAGTCGGCTAATACAACGATATAGAGACGAAAGTAAGGAAAGGTCGATGTGCCAAGATTAGAAAAATGCGCGTATTGTGCTTGTAGAGGATGCGAGAAACGAAGAAGCGAAGATGGAAAGTAGGCGAGGCAGGAGATGGGAGAAACTGAAAAAAGAAGAGAGAGAGAGAGAAAGCGCGTGCAGTGCTCGATAGCCGTTGGAGATTACTGCAAAAAAGGCGACAATACATGGTGCACGGGTATAATAAGGAGAAACGTGTATATCTTGTGAACCGCACCTTTGCCTAACTTTGGTGGTTTTACGTCAGTCCTTAAGTACGAGTCATCTGTAACGGCAGGTTGAGACACTTGAATTTTACAAAGGAGAACCGTTTTAATTATGCTGGTTAAACGTAGGGCACTATTATAAAATTTATAAGTAGTAGTAGTAGTAATAAGTAATAGTATATATAATAGTAAATAGTAATATATAATATTAATAATCATAATAATAATAATAATAATAATAATATTAAGAATAATAAGAATAAGAATAACAGTAACAATAAGAATAATAAATATAACATATGAGTTAAGTATAATATAAAAATATTATGTATAGAGCGGTTACAGTGATTCGAAGGAAAAGAAAAAAAATAGAAGATAGAAGAAGATGAAGAAGACACACCTGGCAATGAGGCAGAGCTGGAGCTAGAATGTTTGTCGAACTCGTCCCCGGCGCCTGGTGTGTGCGTCAGTCGGAATAACAAAGCAGTTGTACAGCAGGGTTTCAGGAACTTTTAACACCGCGTTACACGTAGCAGTGGTAACAACAATTGCATCAGTCTTTTTTTACAACGAGCCATCCTAGTTCCATCATTGTTTGATCCCGATATTCATGAAAAAGTTATAAAAAATTCGACGAGTTCGATGCAGATACACCATCATCGTACCACTGCCATCGCGTAAATCGTGGTGTAAAAACCTATCTTTACATCTAATCAAAGTGTAGCTTCGCAGACAGGATGATCCCCCTTACGGATCTGTCTGTTCCGCTTTCTTCGATGCGGATATATAAAATCGAATCCAGTCGGTTTTTATCGTCTAACACGATATTTAGAAAGAGGAAGTCGAAGAGAACGCGGCGGCGAACGATCGAAGAAAAGCCTGAAGGGGAAGGATATGGATGAACATTCACGCAGACAGAGAAAAAAGAGAAAGAGAGAGAACGGGAGAGGCGGTAAAGCGTCGCAGAATAAATCCGTTCAACGAAACGAGCTAACGCTTCTAGTGTTTCTAAGTGCGACGAAAAGATCGAATCGAAAAGAATAATGCGATGGTTCGTATCGACGAGGACACGTAATGGACAGAGAAGGCGATTTATTTCTCGTCGAGACGAATCGGAAGGCGAAAACGCAAGAGACTGACAAAATAAACGGGGAGAGAAAAATGGATTGAAGGACGCCGATGAAAAGAAAGAAAGAAAGAAAGAAAGAAGGAAAAAACTACGCGAAAAACTAAGAATAACGTTCCTTTCGCAGATAAGAAGAACCGGAGATGTAACGCGTCTAACGAGAGAAAAAATGTATATATATATATATATATATATATATATATATATACTACACGC